GTTTCCCTTTCTTTTGCCAAGTTTTTGGCCCCGGGGTGGGGCGGTTTCCAGAACTCCAACTCCGGTTCCCGTTTACGCCTACCGCAGGGGGTTCCGGGCATGCACAAGGAACAAAGCGCGGGGGGGGTGCCCCGCTTCTGGCTAAGCGGCCCGCGCGAAAACCTAACGCCCGCGCCGAAACCTCGCGCCGGGTGGGGGATAGGCGAACCTGCTCTTTGACTCGGACTGAGGTGCGGCGGCGGCAGCAGCGGCGGTTCTGCGGGGCGTTGTCGGTGGTGCAGCACCCCGCCGCGGCGGCGGCCCCCAACGCGGCGGCGGCCCCAACGGTGCACGCGACAGAGGCATCTCGTCCGAGGTCGCTGTTTTTGCAGGGGGGTGCGGGGTGTGGAGGGGGAGTGTGGTTGGGGCGGACTCACAGGCTGCGATTCTTTTGACTAGCCTTGGAGCACTTGGAGTGCAGTTATCAACCGCACATCCAGGGCCGGGGAGCTAAGAAGCGCACCCAGCGGGCCGGATGATTGGCATCGGGTTGCGGGCAAGAGAGCCCTAGCCCAGGGGGTGCGCGGTCGCAGGGCCATAACACGTCTCCGAGGGATAGTTCCGTGTACCGGGTTACCCCTTAACTGCAGAACGCGCCCTCTTCCTCGACCGTGGGGGGGTGCGCGGTCGGAGGGCCATAACACGGGTCTCCGAGGGCGTACGGCAGCGCTCCGGGTGATTCAGCGGCGGAATTTTTCCTCGCGCTTCCTTGGGCCACCTAGCTAGCAGCTAACCAATCACTCCGAAACCTGCAACCTCTCCTGCTGCTGGACGCCCTTGCATGGAAAGCTCAGTCATCATCACGCTGGAGAAGACCGTTGACTACCTCAAGATCACGATACCACCCCCGGCGCTCGAAGTTGGCCCGCCGTCGCTCCCACCTTCTCCGCCTGGCGGGGTCGACCTTGAGGCGCAGACCACCATCTCGCCCAGCCCGCCCCGCCGTGGGGCGGTTGGGCTCCGCCGAGCGAACCAGACCTCGCGTCAGCCTGAATCACTCTGGTCGCTTGTGTGAGCGCTCTCGCTTCCATTATTCAGTATTCCAGTCCAAGCTTGATACTAGTGCGGAGGCTGTCGCGTCCCTGGACGTCACTTGGTCATATGTGCATTAGGTTCCTAGGGGGCATGTGTGTAAATTTGATCGCGTCTATACAAAAAGAGACGTTTCGCACACAAGCGTTCGCACTGAGACGCCGCGGCGCCCGAACAGTCCGTGACCGGCGCTCAATCCGCGTCGTCCGCGGCGTACTTGGAGTAGTCGGGGCCATCGTTGCGCGACTTCATACTGCTCGGCCCCGTCGTCTTGCCGAAGCGGTAGTCGGAGGGCGCCTGCGGGGAGACGTCAAGGCGAGGTTGATGCCGAATGCAACTGGGTGCCGAGGGGTTTCGGGGAGAGGCTGCACCTCCGGCGCCAGCGCCGTCTTGCGCGTGCCGACGACGCGCAGGGACTGCGCGGCGGCCCGCGCGTCCGCCTCGGCGCCAGACTTTTTCCACCGCGCCGCGGACGCGCCCGAGGGCAGGCCCAAGGAAGGGTCCGGCGCGGCGTGCGGCCACTCTGTCTTTGCCACATAGCGGACGCGCCCGCGACGAGCAGCAGCGCGTCGGTGGAGCCGGCGGGTTGCACCGCAGACACGACCGCCTTGCGCGACTGGTGTTCACACACGAGACGTGAGGGACTTGGAGCATCGGGTGAACTCGGGCGGGCGATATCCGGCGCGAAGGCATGGACGACCGTGAAGCAGCAAGGGAGCCTGCACATTGCCCTCTCGGGAGCTGGTTGGCATCTAGGCTTGCGCGCAGATTCGGCGCCGCCCGGAGAGAGCGACGTGAAGGAGATGTCGACAAGCCGCTTGCCGCTCGACGTGGCGTCGGCGATCACCTTGCCGTCGACAGGAGCCCCATACGCACCGTACCGCCCGTCCACTCCAAGGACGGCGGAGGTGAACCACTTGGCGGGCAGCGAGTCGAGCGTCGAGCCCTTGGGCAGCGCCACGCGCTGCAGAAAGGCGGCCTCCCCGTCGCGGGTGTTCGCCTCCACGTCGTAATAGCCGCCCTCTGCAAGCTTCCACTTGCTGTCGAATGCGACCGAGCAGATCAGCCCGCCGGCGACGACGAGGTCAGCGCTGAGAGTCTGGCCTTGCTGTGACACCTGGTCGACGAGAACGACGCCGAGGTCGGGGCGCGTTTTGCCGGTCATCGTCGTCGCCGAGATGGCCAGAGCGCTCGGCGGATGGATCAGCCCGCCACAGCCGCAGCCGCAGCCGAACGCCAGCGGGGAAAGGAGGCCAGCCGCCACGAGCGGCGGCGCAGACAGGACCGCGCGGCGCCGCATCGGCTGCGGGACGAGGCTAGCAGCGAGCGGGAGGATGAGGAGGAGGGCCATAGAAGTGCTTCCGGCCACCGAGGTGCTTTTCGCGGAACGCTCCCTGGGGGCAAACCCCGGAAAGTGCGGCAAAAATAAGCGCCTGCACGTGTAGGCGCGCAGCTTAGCCAAGGCTCGCGCCCACACGCTAGGTGCTTGTGTCAGATACCGCCCCCACCCGTGGCGGGTCCAGCCTTCTAGGGGGGGTCCCCGAGGCGGGGGGGGGGGGGGGGCCCGAGGGGTTTCCCCCAAATGTTTAGGGGGGGGGGGGGTCCCGCGCCCCCCCAAGGGGGGTTTTTTCCAAAAAAATTTGGGGGGGGGGGGGGG